AAAAATGTTATAAATTGATTGGCATTTTAATGAGGGAAATAAGTATTTGACCCCCTCTCAATCAGAAAGATGTCTGGCTCCCAGGTGTCTTTTATACAGGTAAAGGGCTGAGATTAGGAGCACACTCTTAAAGGGAGTGCTCCTAATCTCAGCTTGTTACCTGTATAAAAGACACCTGTCCACAGAAGCAATCAATCAATCAGATTCCAAACTCTCCACCATGGCCAAGACCAAAGAGCTCTCCAAGGATGTCAGGGACAAGATTGTAGACCTACAAAAGGCTGGAATGAGCTACAAGACCATTGCCAAGCAGCTTGGTGAGAAGGTGACAACAATTGGTGCAATTATTCGCAAATGGAAGAAACACAAAAGAACTGTCAATCTCCCTCGGCCTGGGCCTACATGCAAGATCTCACCTCGTGGAGTTGCAATGATCATGAGAACGGTGAGGAATCAGCCCAGAACTACACGGGAGGATCTTGTCAATGATCTCAAGGCAGCTGGGACCATAGTCACCAAGAAAACAATTGGTAACACACTACGCAGTGAAGGACTGAAATCCTACTGCGCCCACAAGGTCCCCCTGCTCAAGAAAGCACATATACATGCCCGTCTGAAGTTTGCCAATGAACATCTGCATGATTCAGAGGACAACTGGGTGAAAGTGTTGTGGTCAGATGAGACCAAAGTGGAGATCTTTGGCATCAACTCAACTCGCCGTGTTTGGAGGAGGAGGAATTCTGCCTATGACCCCAAGAACACCATCCCCACCGTCAAACATGGAGGTGGAAACATTATGCTTGGGGGTGTTTTTCTGCGAAGGGGACAGGACAACTTCACCGCATCAAAGGGACGATGGACGGGGCTATGTACCGTCAAATCTTGGGTGAGAACCTCCTTCCCTCAGCCAAGGCATTGAAAATGGGTCGTGGATGGGTATTCCAGCATGACAATGACCCAAAACACACGGCCAAGTCAACAAAGGAGTGGCTCAAGAAGAAGCACATGAAGGTCCTGGAGTGGCCTAGCCAGTCTCCACACCTTAATCCTATGTGGAGGGAGCTGAAGGTTCGAGTTACCAAACGTCAGCCTCGAAACCTTAATGACTTGGAGAAGATCTGCAAAGAGGAGTGGGACAAAATCCCTCCTGAGATGTGTGCAAACCTGGTGGCCAACTATAAGAAACGTCTGACCTCTGTGATTGCCAACAAGGGTTTTGCCACTTAGTACTAAGTCATGTTTTGCAGAGGGGTCAAATACTTATTTCCCTCATTAAAATGCAAATCAATTTATAACATTTTTGACATGCGTTTTTCTGGATTTTGTTGTTGTTATTCGGTCTCACTGTTCAAATAAACCTACCATTAAAATTATAGACTGATCATTTATTTGTCAGTGGGCAAACGTACAAAATCAGCAGGGGATCAAATACTTTTCTAGATTTAAATACTTGTTTCCTTCACTGTACGTACGTAATTTAAATGTGTGCCTACTAATGGCCACCAATATCTGGAAGAGAATTAAACTTGTAAAATATCCCCCAAAAAAATATCTGCCAACAAAATTATTTGGGTGCTATAAATTTCCACGTGATAAGCCATTTTGTTGTGGCCAGGTCACTTGTGAAAAAGAGCTATACGGCTCAATGGGCCTTACCTGGTAAAACAAGAAATATTTATTTTTGTTTTTGAGGATGTAGCCCTAAAATAATATTCACTGTTCCCGTGATCAGATGGGAGATCGGCACAAAGCAACAAGTTACATTCGTTCACAGAAGGTTGACATTGATACCTTAGTTTAATAAGATGTTGCAGATCTTGTAAAGGTCACTCAAGAGCCTAAAGCGTGTATCCCAAACACATCATGCTGGGTATGTTTGGTCCAGGGCTGTAGTCTGTTCTTTAGTGTGCAGAATTTAGATTGAAAACTCGAATAAACTATGGGGGTTTTTTTTGTCGGATAGTCAAATACTCTCCTGTCGTATTCGTCATAAGGCACAAGGTTATATCTGTCTCGGTGGCATTTACTTGTTAAAGGGCTCAAGACTGACTCATGATGTTTCAATAAAGCTCACGTATCTGTTTGTGACTTGTTTTGAGGCCCTCTTTTGTTTCCACATAGTGACCACGGCACCCGGGTGTTTGCCGTTCCAGTGGTTTTGTCCGGGACTGAATGTCTGTCTGTAAATAATAATTATCGATAGCCATTATGTACCAAATTTAGCTAAGGGTGTTTACACTTATCTGGGCTACTCCTGCCAGCTGTGTATGCTGCTATAGGAAGCCCATCGCATGTTTTCTTACTTCATGTTGGGCTAAATGTTTATTTTGTTTGCTTCGTGTTTACAGGAGCCATACTGTTTGCTTCTTTCAAAATAAGCAAGCGATCATTACGACCGTTTAACTACCCTATTTTCAACCAAACTGATGTCTCGGATTTCAACTACTGTAGTTCCAACATCATTTTTATTTTTTAGTTAGTTCGATGAACCCCTCTTATTAAATATTGTCCTGCTGTTCCTAAAATGTTTTTACTGTAAACTAACCCTCATAACATTGGATATATTACTCAATCGTTACTACGTATGAACTGAGTGAAAATAATAGCGTCATGCGCTATGAACCTGGACACCCGACCATGACTAACATCATGTGGCAAGTGATGTCTGAACAGGTCCTGGGCCACGTAGCATTGTAATATATTTATGCAGTTTAAATAAATGACGGGCTTATGCCACACACATGGTGTTTCAATATATTTTGCCTTTATAGATTAATGTTTTTAAAACACCATGTGTTCAGCTTGGGGTTTTTTTTGTGTTTCTGTGGCAATGGGGTATCCGTGGTGTTCCCACCGAAATAAACTGCATTAATTGACTGTAGGCACATTCCAAAGGCTTTCTTCTCACTGGGAGGCAGCAACCCACAAAGATGATCTACAGGCACGTGGGAGGGTCCGTGTCCATGTGAAAACAAAAGTTCGGGTATCGTATTAAACAGTGGCACATGTTTACATCGAATCTAAACGGGATCTTGATTTACGTAGTTTAAGGAAGCACTTCTGTTGTGTTTCGACTAACCAATTAGAGGTGGTAACGATGCATAAATTAATCCATTGACATCGATTATTACCAATTCGTACTGCCAGGATTTAAGAAACTTGCCTATTGATTAATCTGCCGCATCGGGAAGTCAAACCGATGACCCAAGTCCAGTGTGCCAACCATTTACAAAAAAGGAGAATAGATTATGTTCAAGCAATTTACTCTTGACTTAAAGCTTTAGTGACTGCAGGAATTCATAATCTTTGGGTCTTTTGGTAACCTCACGTAGAACAAAAATAAATTAACAAAAACTACGATGGTTTCGATAGCAAAACGGTGCGATCAGGATGACAATTGCAATTTACCGTATGAAAATGACTAATGTCATTTCGGGATTACATGTTAACCGAAATTATGAATGATTTACGAGCTCCTTGCCTTTCATTGTGAGAAGTCCATCTAGTACTGTCCCTCCACTGCCACTCTTACAAACATCGCTGTTATGTATGTAACCATTTACAAGTAGTGACAGAGAAGTCTTTTTTGCCAAGCTCTTTAATGGTACGTAATGATTTTGTGCGATTTTAAAACCATTTCCAGCAATACTAGTACAGAAATGTGCCTTATCTACCACCGACTATAATTGAGATGATGTGCAGTGATGTATTAAAACATTTATGAGCCCTGCACCAATTTATGAAAGAAATGTCACGCAGCATGCACTAATTGCCCCTTAACATGCCAACTGCAAATGCAGTTACTCCACAAACAGGTGACATTTTTTGCCAACATAGCAGTCCCTTGAATTTTAAACAAGGCAGGTATTCCGTGCTAGCTGCTGGCTTGTCTGCGTCGATCAGCTGCCGTAGATTGTGCTGCATTGTCAAGCCAGCGTGTTTTGTCCAGCCAGCGTCATCACTCTGAGATGAATGCAACAATTCCAATGGGCTTCCAGAATGGGGCTTTTGTGGCTCTGGAAAACAAATAATTGCACAGTCATATTATTATACACACACAGATGCACACACATACATACACACATGTGAGACTCTACTTTTCCGAAGAGCTCTGCCCCATTCCTTCCGCATAAGTTGCCGGCACAGAAGATTCGGCGTTTGGAGTTTAGCGAGTTGCGGAGCGTGTGCCGTGTGTTGGCTGTCACTCACCTGACGAGCTCGCATGGCCAGTCTCCCACCCTCTGGGCTTCACGGCGTGGTGGTGTGCCGGTGGAGGCGCAAGCGCGAGAAGAGGCGTTTATTTTTCACGACACTTTCCAGTAAATAAAAGTTTCCGCAGGAGCATGTTTTTAGAGCGTTTTGATATTTATTGCAGTGTTATTTACTGCATTATCACTTTGTGTGGCTATTGCATACCATATTCTAAATATTATTTGCATATGTTTTTTCCCCGTAACATGAATAGGAATAATATAAGTTTAATATAATTCAGGTACATACGTTTTTTTTATATATATAATCACAGCCTTGTACTATGACTAGCTGTAAAGATAATCCATATATATTTGTTTATATTGTTGATGCTACTACAGTACTTGTTTATGTATGAAATTAATACACAATGGTTTAAGTATTTTATTTTCGGATGGTCAAATGTACGAATTCGCCTGCCAAGTGGAAATTTTTGAAATAGCCCTCCATGCAACATATTATGAAATCTTCCAAGACAGTCTGTATGTATTTCCCAGACTGTTGTTACAATTGCGAGGACAAGGTTTACCCTCGCAGTTTCTTTTTTTAATAAAAATTCTGTTAAGCAGTTAATTCGTGCTACGCAGGTTTAATTTTTAGACCGTATGAATGTTATAAACTTCTTTTGCACAGTACGTAACCAACCGCGACAACGGCGTAGGTGCTTAAAACGTGCTTTTTTTTTACTTGCGCGTTTACTGCTGCATAATATATAAATAATGTGCGGGTTACTCTGCTGTGTTTTTCAGGAGGAGGATTTGGCAGAAAACGGTACTTGGTGTGCATCTCGGCATTCGTCTTCAGTGGGAGCCTGATATTTTAAAGCAACGTCTGGGTAAGTACGCCGCTTTATCCTGGAATGTAGGACATACAACCAGTGCTCGAGCCTCACATTCTCATTTAGATGTGCAACATTATTGAAGTCTTAACTGTACCAATGTTTGTACCAAGATTTTTTTTCTTCACTTGTGCATTTTGTTTGTGCCTTTTGAAAAACAACATTCACTTCTGGTTGGACTTTGATCACACTTTAAATGAATATGGTAACAAGTAAGTGAATAATAATAAATTGTGCTGTTGTTAATTGCAGTAGTGCATATACATTGGAACATAATTGATTGTGACAACACATTGGTGGCAAAAATGTGTCGCAGGCATATCTAGCTGGGTGGTCCAATTTATTTGGGTGCTCCTCCCTGAGACAGTGAATGTGAAGTTGACGGTGTGATTTCCACAGAAGTCTAATCATTTTGTTTGGAAATTTAAAAAGCATACCATGACGGTTCAAAAACTGGGCTTTTGTTTAATTCAGAGGTCACCAGTTCGATCTCATGGCACAGATGATGAAACAAAGGGCAAGGTTCTTAAATCTCCCCGTGTCTATGCAGCCAGCAGTTCGAGTGTTGGCAGGTCACGTTGTGGGGAAGTAAAATCTCGGTACTCGTAGTACACCTCCGATCGGCATGGTTGGCTACGCACGGTGCGAAAGAAGTTCAACAGAGAGACATCCTAGACTTCTGGCAAGTATAAATGAGTAGGCCAAATATCCTCCAGAGCTCCTGTCATGGAGACCCTTCTGCCAGCAGTGGTGTGACCAAGCGATTCCAGGGCTGCACCTATTACCTATCACTATATTTTGTAAAGTTAATTATCCGACCTTTCACGAGGAACATTTTTTGTTACATCAAAGCCCAAATCCTTTGATGTATTTGAAATGATATATGTTTTTATGTACCACTGTCTCCTTTGGACGAGAGTGTTAATGGGCTCTCACCTGAAGAAAGGGAATTAAATGAAATTATAATTAATTAAATTGTACAGACACGAAATATATATTGCTCATAGATGTGTGGTATTTAGATGAGTGCATCACTTGCTTGAGTCGAATGGTTTTTCATAGTGTTCGGGAATCTAAGCGGGGGCATGGGGGTGATCCGCCTCCCTTCTTGAGACCCCGGAAATAGTTTTTTTAAATTCATAATTACAATAGAAAGTTAGTGAAATGTTTTTATTATTATTATGCAGGGCTCTGTTGAAATAACTTCATTATTTCGGGACCGCCTACCCCCTGGGAAGTTTCTAGATCCGCCTCTGATTCATAGTATACAAAGGCTCGGCGCGATGGTAATTGAAATGTATTATTCTGCTGAATGGTATGGATGTGGTCTATATACAGAAACATTTCCAAAACCATGCTTGCTCCTGTGGTTGTTTGACCTCTTGTGTTTTCGTTATTCTGCTTCCATATATATGTCAAGCACTGTACAAATATCAACACTAAAAAAACTGATTACTGTATTATATATATAAAAATAGAACAGTGTGCACTTAACACACACACCTCGAATACTGCGAACCAAAAGGGTTGTTTGGTGCTTTGTTACCACTGCATATTATAAGTATTATTCGCAGAGTAGTACAGTAATGAACAATATGGTGACAAATTTAGTTCCGTTTCCAATGGAGCCTGCAATATAATAAGCACATTCTGGCCACTCGTGGCACTTACGGGAACCAGGCCTGGCCGTGCTGATTCAGGATCTAATTTAGTCCGCATGCACAGCTGTCCTCTCTCACAAACCTGATAGCACGGTAAACAAAACGGCATGACTTCTGGCATGCAGCACAGGAAGCCGTGGCTGCTGGCCCTCATTGAAGCTCCGAGCTGCAATATCTCGGAATGCGAGCGGGCGGCACGAATACGCGGCTCGGCCCCGTCGCTCAACCCACGGGCTGCTGTTGCGTGTCAGGGCCTCTGATCCCGACATTTATTGAGCAAGGAGCGGTACACGCCATAGGCGCGTGATCTGTGCTCACGTCGACGCATTCCCAGCGTGGGCGAGATTGCCGACCGATGGCGCGCTCTCTTACGCGTCTCCAAGCTGCGGTGCTGACGGGGTGACAGAGGCTTGTGATTAATTGCTAAGAGCAGCTGGAGATGTGCGAGCGGAGGCATCGGCTGCCTTTTTGTGTCCGGCGACTACACCCGCACCAGGGAAGTACTTCAGGTTAAACCTACCTGGGTCGTAGCTCTTCTCCACGGTACAACCTATCTGCGCCAGGGCCATGCCAAGCCAGCCCGGCATGGCGCAGGTGCCAGGTTGATTTTCCACTACAGAAGTTGAGCCGTGCTGCTGACGTCCTGATGAGGTAGCACTGACGCTCACCATATACCGACATGTTGTGTGCAATGAAAATGTCATTGGCCCCACCCCTGCTTAACCCAGAGCAACATTCAGATATATTGTGAGGTCATCATATACAAGTTTGGATACGGGCTTTCACTCGTTACATTGCCCAGTACAAAAAACACGAGTACCGTTTGGGTCTCGCGCTAGCTTGGCTCACATGTGCCAGTCGAAAATGAGTACTTGGAGAGCCAAGTACGAGTGCTGTCAATTTTTGATGGCGGTGTGTGAATTGTCAGGAATTTAATTCTGGGTGACGGGAATCAAAGCGCAATGCATCAGCTACTTCAAGTCAACTCTGCATGTACACCTACACACACAAAGGACCACACTGTGGCACATTTGCATCACCCACCTGCATATGCACATATATTGACTCCTTCAGGAAATGGGTGCACATTTAATTCATTACACATTGTGCACACTCCAGCGCACGTACTTGCAGGCACGTAACTTGAGTGTGAATGCATGCCAACAGCATGCATGAACGCATGACCACTCACAATGGTGACATCACTGGTGGTGCCCAGTATCTGCTGATGCAGAGAATATGCCGTACATTTAGGTATTCTTTTTCTATTGCACCTGTTTCCCAATTTGTCATATAGTTGTACAAATGATATGTACGTAAGACCAACCAATTCTCAGGATCTTTAGATAATCTCAGGTAATTTTGTTTGAAATTCGTCTGAAATAAAGAGTATCCATTTCATAAGGGTGTCATGGTTTATGAGGCATGCATGCAAGAGTATTAGGGCAATATAACCGAAACTATCCAAATAATCACATTGAAATAGCCGCAGCTGGGACGTTGGATGCTAAAGCTTACTGTAGGTCTGGAATTACATGCCAGGCCCGCCTGCTAAGCCTATGGGTGTCTAAGTCCAGGTCCTGGCTCAGAGTGTCCTCAGTCCGCAGCTTGGTTATGTCCTTTGATGCGCTCCTTCCATAACTTTGCTTGTATCTCAGTTTTTGCTTTTGTCAATCGTCATGGAATAGGAATTAGAAATGAAGGTGTGAAGTCATGTTCAGACAAATCAGCTGAAACGTTAAGTTTTCACGCACGGATAATTAATACGATTCACGCCACCTATTGTAAAAGGAATTTCACAAGGCTCAACATTTTAGTTTTAAATTATTCTCATGCAATACCAAAGTAGCTGTCTTTTCAGGAATGCTGCAGTATTAAGCGTCATAGTCTTATATTACAAATTTTATTTGAATACATACTTTTTTAATGACATGAGATTTGCATAGTTTGAGTTGGAGTATATTTATTTGTCTGGGATCTTGCACTTGTATATATTTCCTCTACAATGTTTTCCTCACTGTGCTATTAGTTTCATTTCATTTCATTTATTTGGTATAGCCCTGTGAGCCATTCGGCTCTTGAATCGGGTGCAACCGGAACAAACCAAAAACAAAAACACGAACAAGAAAAAAACATCTTAAAGTAATTCATCTTCTTTGGTTCTTTCGGTAAAGTCACGTAGAATGAGAACAAAATAATAAATTGATAAAATAAAATAACACAATAATATTCTCACGACGTTATTATTTTGTTCTCATTCTACGTGACTTTACCGAAAGAACCAAAGAAGATGAATCATTGCAGTCACGAAAGCTTTAAATCGAAATCTTAAAGTCACTTTGTGACTGCAAACAGAAAATCCAGGAAAAAAACAGCAAAATATTCCTGAAAAAGCACCGTACACCAACGCTGTGTGCAAAAATCCCAGTGGGATGCAAGTCAAACAACAACAACAACAACCACAAGACAACTTAGATTAAGGCCATCAGTCTAACTTCGTACTACAACAAACAAACATGGCCAAACCAAAAAACTTCGAAATAACCAAAATAAAGCCATAAATGCAATGTAACAGTGATCATAGGGACTGTGACCGAATTTTTAACAATAAACTACATAAATAACATGTAACACCAAATCCAAGAGCCCATAGCCGGCTGCATGAGTCACTCCACAACAACAGGAGCATCAGTCGGAGTATCAAATTTTTTCAATGCACCTTTAAGATCAGCACACTAAATCAAAATACAGATAATACTTTGCAGCGGTCATCCAGAGCGAAACATTTTTTTTGAAGTGTCATGTCATCTATTCGGATTCCTCGAAGGGCAACCCAGCTCGTTGATAGAGAACGGCCCAAGTAGCCTCTGCTCCTCATGGTGGGGGACAGCACTTGCCCACCCGTCCTGCCACCGAGGTGCTTAAAAACGATATACATTTTAGAATTAAACATTTTTCGTGACTGCAGGAATTCATATTCTTGGTTCTTTCGGTTAAAGTCACGTAGATAGAAAACAAACAAAAAAAATCTAAAATAAAAGCAAAAAACCCACGACATTTCGATCGCAACACAAGCGGTCTTAAATTTTTATTTAAAGCTTTCGTGACTGCAGGGATTCATATTCTTGGTTCTTTCGGTAAAGTCACCACGTAGAAGGGAAACAATAAAATAATAAAAATATGAAATTCTCACGACGTTTCGACTGCAACACAAGCAATCATCATCAGGTGTGAAAACCACAGCAAGCAAATTTTAAAATTTTCTTGTTTCCCTTCTACGTGACTTTACCGAAAGAACCAAGAATATGAATACAAGCGGTCTTCTCCGCCTGATGT